ACCATGGTCACCACCCATCTTGAGGAGTTTGCCCCCTCACATATACTAATGTGCCACAAACAGGACTTTAATATCACCAATCATTCCCATGTTATTATGGTGTATCCATATAAATGGCCCACCCTGTATATTCTTAGTGCTTATTTTCTGTTTATATTGTTTTATGTAGGCCGTGTAGCAAAAAGGCCACTTTTCAGTCATAAAGTGTGTTAAAGGTCACAAAGTGGTGAGCAAGACTGAAATACTATTGCAAGAACAGGAAACTGTGCAGACAGGAAGTCTTGTGCAGATCTGCAGAGGCAGTAAGTTAAGAACAGGATGCAGAAGCGCATGTAATCAGCAACACACACACATCAAGTAAGGGCAGAGGTAAATATGTTGTTTTGATCGAAACTGTGTATGACGTGGAAGTACCAAATTAATATGGGAAGCTAGGGTACAGACGTTTTTGCAGCTATAGGGCAGGCAGGTAGTATTGAAATAGATCAAGTGACGTTTTAGTAGGGGAGGAACGAGCAGATTATAACATAGGCGATATGCTTGTAATACTTCAGATCTGCAGGGGGCTTTGCCCTGCACATCTCCTTTTCCGGAAATGAATAAATAAAAGAATGATTGAAAAGCTTTGACCACACTGAGTCGCGTCTTCTCTGTCCAGTTAGGAGAATAAAACAACCGGATTTGATAATATGTTTTCTGACAAGAAACAGGACCCGAGTGACAATTTCAGTTATGAAGCCCATGTTTTTCCCTCCATACTGGATGCAATTAGGACAGCCACAGCAGAGATTTATATTTTTAAAAAGAGAGAGTGTGCAAACCAGAACTTAAGTCACGAATATCAGAAAAAGATGTAGGTATAGTCTAGTAACTGAAGTATATGCTTTAGGGAAAAAAAAGAGCTAAACTCCTGGAGTTGGAGACAAGTGAACAACCTGAGGATAATAAAACAGTCAAAGGGGCTGAATAACCCGAGCTCTGTTCTTATAGGTTGGGTCTGGATTTTACTTTGACAAGAGTTACAGACAAAAAAAGGTGTCTTAGAATTACTGACACGTTCCGCTGGAGTGAAACTACCATATATTTACCGAGTGACTGATGATCATTTAATTCACTATTTTTATGTTATTTTAAAGTCTTCTTTGAACTGAGCATTTCTGATTTGTTTCCCATGACATTAAGAATGAAGGGATGAGTTCATATTTACTTACAGAGCTTTGTTGGAGACTTTGACCACTGGCAGCAGCCTCAGAAGAGCCTCCTCTGAAGCAGAGTATTTCTGCAGGTCAAACACATCCAGATCATCTTCTGATGACAGTAAGATGAAGGCCAGAATTGACCACTGAGCAGGAGACAGTTCATCTGTGGAGAGACTTCCTGATCTCAGGGACTGTTGGATCTCCTCCACTAGAGAACGATGATTCAGTTCATTCAGACAGTGGAGCAGAGTGATTATTTTCTCTGTAGACAGTTTATCATCCTCATCTTCGAGCTTCTCCTTGATGTACTCGACTGTTTCCCGATTGGTCTGTGAGCTACTTCCTGTCTGTGTCAGAAGACCTTCTAGAAGAGTCTGATTGGTCTGCAGAGAAAGACCCAGAAGGAAGCGGAGGAACAAGTCCAGATGTCCATTTGGACTCTCTAAGGCCTTGTCCACAGCAGTCATGTATAAGTCTGTCTCTGCATATTCTTCCATTCCAGATTCATAGGATGTTGTTTGTTGTTCTTCCAGCAGATTAATTCCAGAGTTTTTGAAGGTCAGATGGACATAAAGAGCAGCCAGAAACTCCTGAACACTCAGATGGATGAAGCAGAACACCTTATTCTCGACCTGGTACAGTCTTCTCACCTCTTTAAAGATCTGTGTGAACACTCCTGAGTACACTGAGGCTG